AAAAATTATAAATCTCGATAGTCACTACCTCGGTAATAATTGTGCAATACAACAATCAGGTGTGGGAAAAGGGTTTTCAATCACCAGCCGGTGTATTGATTAGGTGTTTCTGTGTACTAAGTGTACATGGTTTATCCAAACAAACCTCTTAATGATGTGACAATCTATTCAAAGACATCAATCAAAATATAAATGACTCGGTGTCACAGATTGGTCGTGTATAAGACAAAAACAAATTCTAAAATCCCAATCTCTAAATCGTGACGAATTTTAAATATAGTACGAACATTTAAATAATAGAAATTAAACAGTATGAAAAATTATCACGTATACAGTGCTACTCCGTGCACTCTGATTCCTCTATATTCTAATTTTCTGAGATTGTGGATTTGGGGTTTTCATGAGCTGTAAGCCATAATCATCACAATTATGACAAATCACGGCTTGAACTATCTTGCTTTGCATGTAATGAGTCTATCTCATATATTAGTTTCACCTTTTAAGTTGCATTAGTGAAATAAATGAACTTTTGCACGATATTCTAATTATTCGAGTTTCACCTGTAGGTCTCTGTGCTGTGTAAGCAATGTGAAAATATCCCCTACTAGAGCTGGTGTTTACTGATCATGTTACAGTGGGTGACAGGGATGGGGACATTGGTTACAGTAAACAGAAAGTGAGGGTAAATCTTTAACAACAACACAGACAGAAAATAAAATGCTTTTTTTTATTTGGTAGGGAAAGGACAAAATCCCTGTCAGCTTTTTATTGCTTTCTGTGTCCCTGTAGCAGATTTTCCCTCACTTCGTGTTTGGTAAAAATATTGTTACCCTGACAGACATTAAGTAAGAGGAAATCTTAGAGCACTGGATAGTAATAAAAGAGATTATTATCCTTCGCCTTTAAAATATGTTTTGGGTAGACAACCAAATATTTTGATTAATACTTTAAATTAATAAATTCCTCTGTCTGTACAAATATAGTTCCAGATTTCTTTGAACATTGTTATGCCATGTTTAAAACTCAGATGTTTGTTGTAATAATATTGCTTGTAGTATCTCTGTCCTCAAGTGCAGTGGATCAAGTGAGCAAAGGCATGTCAGTGCAGGGGCAGCAAGTGAGGAAGTGCAGGGGCAGAGAGTGGGCAAATTCTTGTTGGTGCATTAGCAGAGAGTAAAGAAGAGCGTGTGAATTGTATATGTATGTAATTTTATAGAGTGAATCTCCCCAGTGGGGTCCCAGCCAGCAGTAAAAACATGATAGAGGTTCTAACCCTTCCATATTTTATTAAAAACTAAAAAGAAGTTTGGATTTACATATACTTTGTTTGATGGTTAAAAACAAACATTCAGATGGCTGTTTGAATATACACTGCCTGGCCAAAATAAAGTCACCAACCTGGATTCAGTTAAGCATATAGGTAACGCCTTCCATTGAATAATCAACACTACAAGATTTTGGTGAAAAATTAATGCAACTCTGGGCAGAAAAAAATGGTTTGTGACATTGCATAAGCTTATCAAAACGATGCCACAGTGAATGCATGCCGTAATCAAAGCTAAGGGCCTGTTCACATGAGATCAGGTCCTGATCATGTCCTGATCAGGTGCTGATCAGCAGACGTGGAGCTGCTGATGCAGTGCGTTTTTGATGCGTTTTTGATGCGTTTTCGGTCCGGATGCGGACAGTTAATTTTTTGTCAACGTTGATGACATCATAATACGTGGAGCAAGAATACTTTTTTTTCCCCCTTGGCTGCATTGCGTTTCCGTTCCGTTTTCGTTGCGTTTCATGCGCGTTCGTGCGTTTCCGTCCCGGACAAAATGTGACATGCAGTATTTTTTATGTCGTAAGCCGAACGGACTGCGCACGTGAGAACTGTAGCCCATAAAACACATAGGGATACATTGGGATGCATTTTGAGTGCAGCAGCGTACGGAGCCGGTCAGCACACAAAACGGACGTCGTGTGAACAGGCCCTAAAGGTGGTCTAACTAAATATTAGAGTGTGTGACTTTTTCTTTGACCAGGCAGTGTACTTGTATATATTATTTTTTAAATGTAAACTTTAAATTTAAATAGTGTGTGCATCCCTTTTATTTTTCTTCTACTGTTTATACGGAAAATTTGATGGAAATAGTATCCATCAATATGGATAACCTGAATTTGCCACTCTTGTTCAACAAGTTATATTTTAAATATGTTGTTAGAAGACAGAATAACATTTGCACTATTATGATTGTGTGTATTTTATATGTTTTAGACTGGGAAAGAATCATGGACAAGATGGGTTTCTGAAACTTGTTGACATTCTTCCAAAGCTTCCTGGGCTACAAGTGTTAGAGTAAGCAACACAACATGCTCTTTGTTTACTAGAATACATTCTATTAATTCTATTCTATCAATTCTAATAATTCTTTTATGCACGTCTCAAATTGAATAATCATGGAGCTTGTATAAATGTACCGAGGGTAAAGAAGATTTGGACCCACAGCATCAAAAGATTACATACTGTGTTAGTAAAGAAATAAAATTCCTGTCTTAGAAAATGGCAACTTTTTAATATGACTTACAGAGCCGTCAGAAAGGTTTAGGCACTTGTCTCCATTGGCATTAACCACTTGCTGACCAGGCATTTACACCCCCTTCCTGGCCAGGCTATTTTTTAGTATTTAGCGCTGCAGTACTTTGACAATTATTCCGCCATGCTGTGCTGAAATACATTTTATACAATTTTTTGGGGACAGATAGAGCTTTCTTTTGGTGGTATTCAATTACCACTGCGGCTTTTATTTTTTACTATATTCAGGAAAAATTAGTGAAAATTTTGGGGAATAAAAAAGTTATTATGTTAGGAAACAATTATTATGACCCAATTTTTGGTAAAATATAAAAGGGGGCACATCGGGTAAATAGGCACCAAACATGTCAAGCTTTAAAATTGCACGCACCTGCAAAATTGCAAAAAACTACCATACCCAACATTGACCAAAGGCGACACTTTAAAAGCTTTAACCGCTCATCAGTTTAGTGTTATCAGTGATTAATGGCCCTAGAATTATTGCTCTCACACACTCTCATCACCTTTCTTGATGTATTGGTTAATATCACTGATGGTCAGCTACACATGTCTCTGTTTAGTAAACCAACGGATCGCAATACGATTTTGCACTGCTGTATTTCACATCCCAGACATCTATTAGACAATTTACCAATCTCTCAATTTATGCGCGTTTTTACGCATTTGCTCTGACCAGGATTCATGCAGTGCACAACTTAAAGCTGCAGCCCGTAGGGGTGGGAACCATGATAGGTCCCTCCAACGTGAGGCCCTTTGGATTTACACATTAGACACTATCATACCCAGGGGCCTCAATACAAACCTCTCGCTGACATGTTTTTTGCTTGATCGTTGATGTGACCTCCTCCGGGGGCCATTTATTTGTTCTCATATGATTATTTAGAATCTTTTTCCACAGCTAAGTTACCTTTCTTTCTTTCTTTTTAATAAAAACATTTTAATATACATTTTACCATTATCACTTAGGTTACATTGGTTCCTTTCACAAAATCCTGCATACTGACCCTGCTTTACTCCTCCACTATATGGCTATGGCTACCTTAACCTTTTGGCTCCTTTATGTGTATATTTGCAACAAGCGTTGCCCTGAGCCTGCGGGACACACCCTTTTGTTGGGGCCGTTCGGGCTACATACATGATGCACATACATGTACGCATGCACAACGCAGGTACAGGTGTGCATAACAGTATACATTGTACATACCTATACTGCCAGAATAGGCTTGCCTAAGGCCTGGTTCACACCTGAACGTTTTGTAGCGCGTTCAACGCTCGACGAAAGCTCTACAAAACGCTCAAACATCTAAATCCCATTGTATTCAATGGGTCTGGTTCACACCTTGCCGTATTTCCGCCCGTCCGAACGCGATACAAAACGGCCTGTGCATCGTTTGGGCCGATAACGATCGGGGCATGTATGGCTGGCATTATGTCTAGCTCCGGTGATCGATCGAAAGTAACGGAGCCAGGACAGGACAGCAAGGAGCGGCTGCTATCATAGTCCGGTACGCGATCCATGACCGCGTGCCTGACTGAATTTCCACTCGCCCTCTCTTCATTTCCACTCGCCAAATGCGAGCGCGCGAGTGGAAATTTTGAGCCCTGTCTTAGGAGATACATTGCAGGCTCTGTCAGTAGCGTCCCACTGCAACTATAGCAACCAGTGACACGGCCGAGTCCATGCCCTCTGTTATGTGTGTGGCCGATCAGTGGCTGTTCCTCCCCACTGCTATCTCGGGCTGGGGGTGTGGCTGAGTCCACGTCAGAGTGATGTGTGCAGCCTCCCCCGTCCATTGATATGAGCACTACTGTGTTACAAGTGGCAGCATCTGGGAGCCTGATAGTGGCAGACCACTCCCCCAATCTGGGTGACCGATACCCATGGACAGACGGCTGTTCTCTCCACAGCCGTTACCTTCGTCTCTTTTCCAGTGTCATTACACGTTTATGTTTACCATGGTTTTCCTCTATGTATTATGTATCATGCATTTTGTCTTCCAGCAGCCTTGCTAGCATTTGTTTTGGTTTATATTGTGGCGGGAGTGTGACATCATGATGACGTCACAGGGTCACTGCACACTGTGATAGGTTTTGCAAAAGGGGGTTCTCTCCTGGGGATCCGAACTATAAAGCACACCACTCCTGTGGAGATATAATAGGCCTGTCTACCGTGTCCGTGACCCGTACTGCATATCAAAGAACTGGGAGGGTTGGCTAAAAAGGTTAGCCAGACCAAGAGGTCACTCTACGGAATGGGACAGGCCAAGGTTAATATCAAAATATTTATTGTACAAAAATATAAGTTCTACAAAGCATTTTACAAAGAAATCACTGTCTATCACCAGTGAGGTTTAAAATACACATATCATCTGCAGACTTTAAGGACAAACATAAAAGTGGTAGCAATGGATGATTCACATGAAATCAATCATAATTCATATGCAAAGACACAATAGGACTCAGTGTATCCGCACCATGAAAAATATACTGAACTAAACTCAGATATTATGGGTATAATGCAGCAATGATGAAGCCTGAATCGATTGTATTGGATCAAAACTAGTTGAAAAATTGAAAAGAATTGGAGGAGTGCCCCTTTAGACAATTAACTATAGATTTTAATTTCAAGATTGACATGGCACTAGAAGTAGCACTGGTATCTCAGAAAGAGTCACATTTTCTCAAGATAGAAGAATGTAATCTCCCTACTTTCTATATTATCCCCAAGGTACACAAAAACAGCAGTAACCCCCCAGGAAGACCCATTGTCTCGGCAGTAGGAGGGCCCCTTATAAGGCTTGGGAAATACCTTGACTCACTTCTGAAAGATATGGGCCAACGAATGCCCTCCTACATCCAGGACACTGGAGATGTCCTGAGAAAAATAGACAACTTAGAGGTACATCAGTACTCGATCCTTGTTGGGCTAGATGTAGAATCGCTCTATACCTCAATCCCCCATAGTTGGGGTATAAAAGCAGTGGACTACTTCCTCAATGCCCACTACCCAGAAATGGGGGCGCAAAATTAGTTTTTGATAGAGCTACTTGAATTTGCTCTAAATAATAATTGCTTTCAGTTCTCAGGAGCCTTCTACAAACAGGTTAGAGGCACTTCAATGGGAGCCCCATGGGCCCCATCATATGCATGCCTCCACTTAGGCTTCTGGGAACTGCAAGAGGTCTACTGTAAAACCTTGTACCTGAGCCATGCTAAAACATGGTTCAGGTACATTGATGACATTTTGGTAGTGTGGAGTGGTGGTGAAGACCTCCTAAAGACCTTCGTGGCAGAAATAAACTAAAATGACAGAAATTTAAAATTAACATATACTTTCAGCCATACCGAACTCTCTTTCTTGGACCTCCTACTAAGGGTGGAAAATAACAACAGGATTATGACTAAAAAGTTCCGCAAAGAAACTGCAGCCAACACCTTGCTACATGCGGAAAGTCATCATCCTCCACCCCTAAAACAAGGAATCCCGACGGGACAATTCCTACGAATAAAACGGAATTGCAGTAAAGAAACCGACTATATTAACAGTGGAATCAAAAGCCCTTTATAGCAGGTTTAGGGCGGGTTTAGCCAACCCTCCTATTTCTTTGATCTGTGATAGGTTTGTTCACAGTATTTGGTGTGTATAAATGTGTGTTGTTTCTTCACTTGCATTCTCACTTGTTCTGCCTGATGAAGGGGATCCTGTGTGACCCCGAAACGTCGCACTAAGTGTGCTATGCTACCTTTTTGCATGTAAGTCAATAAATAGACGTATTGTACCTGCTATTGGAGTGCCAGTGTCCATATTCTTTTGGGCAGGCTATGAAGGCGGGACACTGGGGCTGTTAGAGGAGTACATTGTTGGAGGTGAGGAAGGTGCGGAGAGGTCAGGGGAAGGAGGGGGGCCCAGTATCCCACACACATACCACTGGCTACTCCCGGCGCAGAGATGGGGGCCCGCTGCCGGATACAGAGGATGGAGCTGGAGGATCAAAAACACTGCAGCTGTGAGAACTCGCCAAGCAGCCGCCTGATTAAAGAGCCCACGGGCTGAACTTTCACAGAAACTACTTGAAGCAGACCAGCCAGAAGGACAGTCAGAAGAGGTGATTACATTCACTATGTTGTAAAATGTCATTATTTATAGTCCTATATAACTGATGGTATTATTCTGCAGTGCAGAATGGCACCCTCTGTAGAGGACTACAAGTACCAGCAGTACTTTTATACAGCAATGCTATTGCTGTTTAACGTATTGCTGGGATGTATACCCCTCTATACTCTATACCTCTGACATCCTGCATTGCTGTAAATAGGGAAGCACCTATACCGCACAGCTCCTCCTCCTTCCCACCGCCCACACAGCTCCTCCTTCCCACCGCCCGCACAACCATGGTCAGACCCAGCTGCCTGCACCCTCCGCACAGCCATCACAGCACTAGAGGGACCCGCACCCACTCGCACATCCGTGATGAGACCCTCACGCAGTCCTGGTGAGACAAGCAATGCAGCCCTGGTGAGACCCGAACGCAGCCCTGGTGCACTCTGTGTCACACCACTGACTTCTGCATCACACCACTGACCTCTGCACTCTGCATCACACCGCTGCACTCTGTGTCACACTGCTGATCTCTGCATGCTGCGTCACATCGCTGACTTCTGCGTCACACCGCTGGCCTCTGCACTCTGCGTCATGCTGCTGACCTCTGCGTCACGCGGCTGACTTCCGCACTCTGCATTACAACTGAGCTCTGCACAAGGGG